CTTGAGATTTGTGAAGCTTATGAAAAGCTCTGAACACACAAAAAATGCAAAGATAAGTTCAAAGTGTTTACATTTTCTCATTGCAGTAAGACATTACAGACAAGTTCAAAAAGTTCAGCTTGCGGATCGTTGCCATATGTTTCTATTTCCTTCTCATTTTTTTTTACATTGCATTAGCTTGCATGAACAGTTTCGACCGGATTATACGCTTGTAACTTACCAATCATCTTTGAAAAGTTTCGAATCTTTAACAGATCGCACAAACACCATCCATAGGGATACGTTAAATTTATTAAATGGCCTGAACACACAAAACTATCGAAGAATAAGCTTATAGGGTGCACACGTTTCCGTCTGCTAAAGTGTGTACACTTCCTTATTTATTTATCCAGGCAGAGTTATCATCTCAAAGGTTCAACTAGGACCACAAGTTATTCGACTGAAGCGCAAGGAATATTTGACCCCATTTGTCCCCATTTGCGTAAAGTGCTGTTAAGTCGTAGCATGGTTAAGATCAGCACCTGAGCCCAGTGAGAATTGAAGAATATGATCAAGGCTAATGAAAATCAAAAATATTATTATGAACCGCTCTAGTTTGATGAAATCACCACTGGACAATGCAACTGGTGCGGCTTAGTCGATGTTTAAAAAGCAAAGATGCGAGAAGATACTCTAGATTGACTTTTCGCGATGATAGCACTCAGCTACACCTACCTCCTCCTCCTATTTTTACCAGACGTGGTTTTCTCTAATTAAAATAATTTTTCCAACCGAAGATTTAATACCACTCTGAGTGGAGCTGTTTATGACGATATGCTAAATGGGTCCCACAATTTGAATAAAACGTCTTATATTATTTTCATTTAATATACACAGTTTATTAAGAAATGACTTAAGATTCGAATAAACAATCAAAATTCGCGCGAACCATATCATCATCGGTGAAGGAACGCTGAGCACGCTCATTAGACTGCGGTTATTTCGCCGTCTCTTTCCATTTGCTCACTTCCTTCCCACCGTCACCGTACTACACAAATATTGGACATCCCCAGAGGGATTCGTTATACAATAAAAAAAGGGGAAAAAAATTGTAATGTCAAGACATTGAGTTTTTGGATGTGCCGGTCAAGCCAATAACTTTAGAATTCTGACGTCGCAAATCCCCGATCTAAGTAAGACGTTGCCGAAGAGATGGAAAAGGCTAATTAAGATGAAAAAAGCTATTTAAGGATGAGAACCTAGTAAAAAAAAGGTTACACTGAGGACTTGTGCGAAAGGCTAACGACAAGCCCTTCTTGTTTTTTATATCTATGTTTATGGTTGTAGTGGGGATAAGGATGTGAAAGAGAGAATATCAAATGGATTCTGGAAATGGTTGCCAGGTATGCTCCATAATACTTGCCTTTGCAATGAAAACAAAAGTATTTTCGGTTTTCTTTTCTTTTCTTTTTTTTTTTTTTACTTTTCTTTACGTGATTGTTGTTATTGAAATTTGTTAATATTATATTAATATCTGTTTAATTGTTGTTGGTGTGTATCCTTAATATTCTTCTTATTAATATTAGTAATAATCCATAAAAAATGGATTTAAAAAAAAAAATGGGTAGAAATCGTTTAACGAAAAAATCGAAAAATGAAAAACTGAAAAACTAAATATCTGTCGGAGATCAGAGAAAAATGAATACCACTGTTATGGTTAGCGTAATTAACTGAACATATATAGGATTAGGAGGCTGTTATCATTTATTACATATATTCCATATATATTATTTATTTTATTTTATTATTATTACAATTAACGTTAGTATTATTCGTTACTTCCTTTTACTATCTTTTATTATTATAATTAATTTCATATAAATATTTGTCCTTTTAATACATCGATAGCAATAACTTATTGTATATATATATATATATGTATATATAATTTGAGGCCAATTTCAGTGGTATAGAAATATAAACTAAAGCCTTTTATTTTTTTCTTTATCTTTTGGGAAAAACCTTTTTTAAAAATTTGTAAAAAAAAAAAAAATTTTTTTTAATTGTTAGGTAAAAAACAAAAAAAAAATTGTTTAGATTTTTAGAATATTTTTTTTTTTTTAAGATTTTTATAGTTATAATTTTGATTGAACTTTTTTAAATATTCCTTATTTTATATTTTAATATCTTGTTCTTTTTTGTTGACAAAAAAAAAAAAAAAATTATGTATATTTTTAATATTGTTTATAATCCATTAAATGAAGTAGAAATAATATTTGTGTTTATATCTTTGGTAATAAAGCCTTTCTTACTTAGTTTTAATAATTTGTTTTCTTTTCATTTTTGAACCATATTTTAATTATCTTTAATAATAATATTTTTATATGACTCCTGCTTTTTGTTTTTTTTTTCTTCATTGTAATCTTTATAGTAAATACATTAAGTAAACGTGAAAGAAATCGAAAGAGAGACGAAAATGTGTGGCTGCCTCGAATCTTTTTGTTTTCTTTGATTCTTCTTTTTGTTAATACGAATATACGAACATTAATATTTAAAAGATTTATTTATATAAATCTTGTAAAGTGTGAGAGTTAACTCCTATACTTTGTAGGTAAAGATAAAATTGTGTGCTGCTGTCCATTAGTTACGGTGAACCTACAGTAGAACACAATTCAGACACAATTGCTTTAATTAAACGTTAATGTAATCGTTACTTGTTACCTATTTATATATAGTGTGTGTTAGCATCTAAGGAAAACAATAGAAAAATTCTTCAAGTTATATACTTGGTATCACTACTTACTTCTATATTAAGCCTTACAAGTAATTTTCTACGTCTTTGGAGTACATTTGTTTTTTTTGTTTTTTGCTTTTTATAATAAAAGAAGTTAAACAACTGGTCGTTTTAGTGTTTTTCTTTTTTTGTTCTTTTGTGTTTTCTCTCATAATGTTTTTAAGACCCCAGCCCTCTGATATACATGTCCAGTCTCTGCTTGAGCATGTATATATGAAGAAGGTATGCGATTATACATATATATATATGGATATTATATTGGGATATATGTGTGTGTTTAAGATATCATCTATATTTGTAGATAGATACAGTTCTATACGCATTTCTATAATAATATATATAGAGATTGTTTTTTAAAGGCCTAACATTGCTTTGCTTCATTAATATATTTTGATGTAAAGTTTTTAATTACGTAATTACGTTATCATATATTCATTTTAAACAAAAAAAAAAAAGAAAAAAAAATAAATAAATAAACCAAACATGCATATATTTAGACATGCATTTTGGCTTAGAATACTAAATATATTCACATTAACTATATATTTGTAAATACAACTGTTTTGCTTATATATCTAGATCTGTTTGGTATTTATCTCTATACATATATATATGTATATATCTATACATATATATGCATATATATATATATATAGATGTAATTAGATATATATATATATATATATATATATATGAATATATATTGTAAATGTTATTTCTATTCTAGCCACACATATATAAATAAATACTTTACACAACATTAATACTTAAAGTAGTTTATCTTCTTTTTCTATCGGTTACTCTCTTCTATATAATGATGTTGGTAGCTAGTACCAAAGAACTTGCACTTTCGCTATATACGCTTTTTTATTTTATATATGTTATATATGCCTGTAATGGTTAAAAAGATTTTCAATTTCAGAAAATATATCTAAATTGATTTTATGTCTTTGGGTATTCATTTATTCATAGGTACATTTTTATTTTTTGATTATTTTATTATATCATTTTTTACTTTATTTTTTTTTTTTTTTTCATCTTCTAATATTTCTCTTTTCCTTTCTCTACTTAGGTGGTTTCTTTTGTTCGGTTTCTCTGATCTGATCTGATCTGATGTCTACTACAGTAGAAATTTCCGTAAGTATCCTTTTGAATTAAATAAAATGGCTCAAAATTGACTGACTGGTCGACTATAAAAAAAAAGCAAGAGAGACAAAAAAAAAAAATTCAATCATTAAGTAATTATCAGAAAAGAAGAATAAGTTCATACAGGAAAAAATAAAAAAACAAGTTAAATCTAAATTTGAACACTTAATAAATGAAATGATAAACATAAAAACAATAATTAAAAAAATGAAGGAGAAAAATGTAATTTGAAACAAAAAAAAGCATTTGAAAAAGAAAAACGCAAGAATTAATTAATTACATAATTATTAGAAAATAATAATAATTTCATGTAGAAAAAATTAAAAAAAAATTAGAAAAAAAATTTTCAATTTAAACAAGTAAGCGTAAACCTTAACTTAATAAATAAAGTATTAAAAATAAAAACACATATACATATATATATATTTTTACATAGGCGACAATAAAAAAAAAAAATGGAGAGAGAGAAAAGAATTCATTAATTAATTATTAGAAAATCATTTCAAGCAAAAATTAAAAATAATAAATAAATAAAAACAGATCAAAATACACCAATTAATAAAGACATGAAAATAAAAACATATGTGATAATTAAAAAAATAAAAGGCACAAAGGGAAATATAAAAAAAATAAAAGAGAAGAAAAAGAATTCAATTATTAATTAATTATATGAAAAAGAAAATAACTTCATATCGAAAAAAATTTAAAATTTATATATACACATATATATATATTTAGGCATCGTAAACTTAATCGTAATAAAAAGTGATATTTAAGTAAATCAAAGACATTTCATAAAAATGCAAATTAAAAAACAAAAAACGTTTTAAGCCATTAATTATTATTAAAATATTAAATAAACAAAATAAAACTTATTGATAAATAAAAAGAAGAAGAAAACCATAAATTATAATTGAAAAACTTACCCAAAAGCAATTCAGCCAAGTAAAATGTTGTATTATAAAGAACAATCAATGAATTAATTAATTAATTAAATTAAATGTACACCGATTTATTTATAGACGTTTTAAGTTATGAAAAAAAGGGTGAAAATTTCGAAAAACTTACCGCAATAATTAATTTAATTAATGTAATAAACCACAGACTTCCTTACGGAAAAGCAACTCACTCGCATAAATAAAATTCACCAAAAAGACGGACTAATATTAACCTATAAAGAGCAATACAACTTATTAAACATAAATGTAAAAATAAATGCAAAAAAAAATTTTTAATTTTTCACAGTTCACTTGATATTCTGTCATGCCTGAACGACATTAGCTTTTATAACTTTTGCAAAAAAAGATGAAATATTTTCCTTAACTGGAACCATTATCGGTTCAAACATTTTAATGAATTGAATAAATAAATGAAAAATTTTAAAGCAGAAGAAGAAGTTAATGCAAATACAAAAAAAAAAAAAAGAAATAACGTGATTTTGCGAATGTTTTTTTTTTTTTCTTAAACGACTTTTAAACTGATTGCTTCATAGATATATACAGATCTAAAAATTCTCCATAATCATCTTTCATGTTTTTAAAAGAAACTCGCGTTCCCTCAGCTGAAGTAGAAATTTTTACACTAAAAAGCTTTAGTTTTATTTTTTTTTTTTAATTTTACTCAACTGAATTTACAAACTGAAAAGTGTAGTAAAAAAGAAAACATTTAAAAAAATTAATAAATGTTTGTTATGTAAAAAAAAAAATATATTTATATATATATATAACGATCTGTATCCCTTAAACTTTGCATTGCGTCGAAACGTGACGTGTCTTTTTTAAGCTTTCTCATAGAAACAGAAAGAGACTTTCGAGTATTCTACAGTAAGCTAAGTGAGTCGCTTTAATCTTTTAATTAATGCAAAAGTGAAGCTGGAAAAATGTTATGCAATAACCGAACAATTTCTATCTGAAGATTTTTCTTTATATATATGATAAGAAGAAAAAGTAAAAATGTTTTAAGCTGCAGTCGTTTTACTTCAGAAAATTTAATTCTCTTAGCTCTTCTAGAACGAAAGAAGTACTTAAAATTTATAGGAATATTTGTTACTGCGTTCTTGTATTGATTTAATTATCTATACACATATACATATAATATATGCATATACATATATATGATATATATGATATATACATATACATATATGTTTCATCAATCATCAATGTATCAATGCATCAATATTTTTAATTTTGATTAAGAATGAATGTCCGTTATTGTATATGTTACGTTAATTATATACGTTACGTTGCGTTACGTATTAACTGCAATTAGAAATGAATTGAATGCCTTTCGCTGCGATTCATTCATTCATTAAGCTTTTAACTAACTGTACATTCAAAGCGAAAGCTTTATTTTAAATACACTTAAGAAATATTACTAACTGTTACGTGTGAATTGCAAAAACACACATACATGTACTATATATAATACAATGAGTGTTTATTTTTTTTTTTTATAAGAAAATTTCACTTGTTTAAGGAAAGCCTAACTTGATTGTGTTTTTTATTTTCAATGAATTTTTGAAGTATATTTTTTTATTTTTAAGAAATATATATAGAATGTAGATTAAGAATGTTTTTTTGTTTCTTTTTGTAAAGAGATGGACGAGTAAGTAAATAAATAAAAAAAACGAACTTGTAAACCCTAATATGGCCGCGACAGTGTATATATATATATATGTATATATATATATGTATATATATATATGTGATTTTTATTTTAAAGGAATGTATAAATAATTTTTTAAATATTTTAAATAGAAATTAATTTATCTTCATAGCTATTAGTTATTTAAAAAGGTATTTCTTAGTTTTTATTTGTCAAATTTTCTTATCAAAACGGAAAAGCTAAACATTAACATAATTATTTCAAAAATTTGATTTTTTTTTTTTTTGTTTTTAGCTAGAATTACTTATTTTTTTATATATTTAATTATTTCTTTTTTGAACGTAAAATTAATTGAAAAACTTTTCTAAATGCAAACGACGTGTAAGCTCTTACTTAATTTTAAACATTAAGGCCCTATTAGGATTGATTTTTCCCAATGATTTTTTTCAATTAAAATTAAAAAAAAAAAGAAATGCCAATCCGTCCTTTAAAGCTTTACATAGCAGCAGAATTAGAAATTCAACCCTGTTCATCCGCTTAAAAATGCTAAGTCTAACCTTACGGGCGAGATTGAGACAAGAACTGAATAATTTTAGAGGAGATGTTTAATTATATCCCTTGAAAATAATATTCCGGTCCCATTAGAGCCCGGCTTTGTCAAGCCCGAACCATATCCCCATTGACAAGACGATATAGTTCAAGCATCCCATCTTGTTCATACATTTGTAATCAGATCATGTATACCTGTGTGGACCTGTCGTTGTTCCTTAAGTGACTGTAGTTCCCGAGAGCAAAATATCGTTTTGCTTGACGAAGGTCACAGAAGCTATTCTTTGTTTCTGCGCTTGTTTTGTCTCTCCCCGCCCCCTCACTGTTCGTTAGAATAAGTCGTTTGCATTGTTTTCAGTTTTTAATCAATCAAATAACGTATCGGCCATGAAGTTAATATCAAATTGTGTCCTTGCTTTGGTATTGCCTATAGAAGGTACGAGGGACGAGTTGTTAACATTTTGTGCTTACCCATTCCACACACGAATTTATTCGAATATAGGCAACAATTTGTTTGCTAATTTCTCTTTCTTTTTCTTTCTTTTTTTTTTTTAGTAAAAATGAAATAAATTCCATAATTTTTTTTTATTTTTTATATTCTCATAGATTTTCTTTTTATTTTTCAATTTTAAATTTATACTTAAAACGAATTTTTTGTTGTTTTATAATTAAATTTTATATTTGGATTTCTCTCTGTTGTGTTATTTATAAATTTTTTTAAGAGAAATTAAAGAAAATAAAAAAGTAATTGATAATAATAAAAGAAGAAAATTAAAATATTTATAAATACATGTTAACTCAAACTTATTATGCTGACACTGTGTGTTATGCGTGTGTATGGTTTCTCTCTCTCTCACCCCTAAAGAGAATGAGAGAGAGAGAGCACAGCGTTGCTTCCCTTTCTACATTTACTTCTTTTTTATTACTTTTATATTTACTTTCAGAAACTTTTCTGGCTGCTGTTGTTGTTGTTGTTGTTCTTTTTCTTCTTCTTGTATTTCTTTTACACATACATCGTCATTAGAGTAAATGTTATAAAATTTAAACATTACCATTTTGTTTGTTTTTTTTTTTTTACTTTTATTTTTTCTTTCTTTCTTGTTTGTAAGCAAAAAGGTAGGTTAAGTTTATCATTAAACAGGTGAGAGAGTACAAGTGTTGAGAGTGTAAATATATATATAATTTTTTTTTGCTGTTTTTTTTTTTTTTTCTTTAAATTTATTTCTATTATCTTTATATATAAGTTTTAATTAAATGTGTTGTGTATTTGCTTTTTCTCATTTATTTATATTTATATTATGTATATTAAGGAGTGTAACGTTTGTGTTATGCTTTTAAGTTTATTTTTATATATATATTTAAAAAAAAAAAAAAAAATTTTTATTTTTAAGTATCATTTCGATTTAAATTAAAAAAAGAAAAAGAAAGAAAAAAAATTAAGACTTATTCCTTACGATAAAAAGTAGAGAGATGATGATGACTGGCTGACTGTAGTAAGGGTAAAAGTTGAATGCTCGTTTCCGCCAACTGCACAATTTTTTATTTTAATTTATTTCAAAAAGTTTGCTTAGGGGTGATTTTTTCCTTCATTTTTTTAAATTTTTTTTTTTTTTTTTTGATAAACTAGCTTTGACTGACTAAAAATACTAAAGTAGAAAAAAATGTTATTTTTAATTGTTTTTTGTTTTAATTTTATTTAATTTTAAGTAAATTGTTATATCAGGGATTACAATAGAGTTCTTTCTTACTTTTGCTCTTAGCATACCTATATATATATATATATATACATATATATATATATACATATATATACATATGTACGTATATAAATATATATATATAAATATATATATATATATATATGTCAATTGTGTTGTTGCTGTTTTTTTAATCAAACTTTACTTCATTTAAACGCGCCTGCTGCTCAAAACAAACTTCTCTTTAGCGTTTCTCAACGTTCAAGTGCATATTTCAGGAACCTCTGGGAAAGATTCTCATCTAAAAAACAAAATAGTTCTCGCTCGTTTCTTTCTTTTTTCTCTGTATCCTTATAAATGTTGTCGGCTCTAACAGTTTAAAATTTATTTTATCATTTTCTGCTCTTTTCATATCTTTCTCCTTTTTTTTTTCTTTTTTCTCTTCTTCTCTTTTTTTATTTATATTAATAATGTGTATAATATTTTAAATGTTTTGGTTTTTTTTTTTATATTAAATTTAAAAGTTCAAGTTATTTGTATATTGTTGTTGTTGTTGTTGTTGTTGTTGTAGTTATTTCTTTGTGTTATGAATTCTTTCATTTTAATTTTTTAATAATATATTTATATATAATTTGTTTTTATGCTGTTCTTGAAAGATTTATTTATTTATTTTTAATTTTTATTCACGGATTTCTCTCAATGTTTTTATATGTTTTTATATGCATGTCTACACATATTGGTTTTATATATATATATTTTTTATTTTTTTTTTTATTTTTTAATTTTTGTTGTTGTTTTTATCCATAGCAACAGCAACGCGCGATGTTAGGGCGCACAGCTACAGTCTTCTTCAACATCTTAAAAACATAGAAAAGCTTAATAAAAAGAATTAATTTAGCCGCTCACTTCGATGTCATCATAGTCACAAACTCTGCAAAAAACAATTAAAAACAAAAATTATATCAGCATTAAAAAAAATATATATATTTAAGAATATATATTACAACAATCTAAAGTAAGAATCATCCCTACTGCGTCTGCACCTCCTGCACCATCACCAACCCAAGTAAATTTTCAACGAATTGAAAATTTGTCAAACTCGAAGATCACCTCTATATATATATATAGTTCGCAAGAAAATAATACTTTAAAGCACTCGGCCTCCGCTCTCCCTTACCTGAGACGAATATATTGTCAAGGCTTTCAAATAGTTAAACTTTCTTACGAAAGCTTCTAAAATTGGCTCCATTTGTAAGAGTAAACTTTCTGCAATAAAGTTTTTCTTTCGAATTTTCAAGCGATTCCAGACTGTCTTACCCGAAGTCGTTTGAATTGAAGTTTTAATTAAAAAAAATTTCTCGTGAAATCTCCTACTGTCTTAACTTTAGCAAAATTTACAGGGGCACACACAACACAAACTCTTTTCTGTTACCAGCCATATCGGCTTTCCGAGATGGCGCTGGATTACGAGAAACATCAATTTGCCATCAATATTTGCCTTAAATTAGACCCAAATTTTAATATTTAACCACACGAATCGTATAACAAGCAAGGTAAGGGTAAAGCAATTTAAACACTCTGCACTACTACATCAATTCGACTAACGCAAATTTTGATGTATCTTCCTAACAATATACCAAGAATTGATTCCTTATATGCATCAAGAACAAAAAAATCTTATCTATGTGAGCAGAATAATCGGCCCACGTCATTCAAATTTCTCAACAATATCAATATAGTATGCGGAACGACTATTACTCTACGAACTTTATTACGAAATTTCGAAAACTGCAATTTTTCTCATATAAATTGTTCAGGATAAGGGGCTGCAAAAATGGTCCAATTCATTTTGAATGGGATTCTCCGTCCCTGCAGAAAATGTCTGTGGATTGAATACAAAAAAATCTGGATAGACGGACTGACACTATCATCTATACCAAAAGTGATGTCGGCGGGCATAAAAGGCATGGTAATGATGCACATCTTTAACGTCTTGAGAACTAAATCGCTTTTGCTTAGAACGCGACCATTCATTGCAATTTTGCAATTAATGAACATCTATTCTGAACATCCATTGTGATATAAGTGGGTTTGATTTAAACGCTCAACATGAACGTAAACCCGAATGGATAAAGGCTGATATAGCTGAGCTGGCCAAAAATGCTCAGTAAAAGAAGAATCCATCGCGACATCATGCTTCAACATTTACACCCTTTCCCCGCTTTTTTCGTTTTTCGCAATCCAATATGAAGAGTGAGAGTGCGGAATGCGTAGGGATGGATGACCGATCCTCCTTGTTACATCTGGCAATGCAATGTTGGCTAAACTATCATATTATAGAATAAATATTCGTGGACTCGTCGTGAAAGAAAGAAGTGGATATAACTTTATCTAAACAACACTCCTCTAAAGTGGGTTAACGGCAACTGCCTCAGTGCTTGAAAGAAAGAAAAATTTGCTGAAAATAATCGAAAATTGCTAAAGAAGAATGGGTGTAAAAGCAAGCTTCGCACTGGATGAAAGTACCATGGCTTCTCGTGGTTTCCTTTCTTTCAAACACTTTGCCAAAGAAAAAATGGAATGGTTTTCCTTTCCATCGTTTTCATCGTTTCAATACAGTTTTCAAAATGAATTTTATCGAGAATGAATATGAATATGATTTTCTTCTTGCCTTAGGTCAACAACATTGTGCATCGTGCGTTTTAAGGCAAAAAAAAAAAAAAACAATACAAGAACAATAATTAGATAACGAGTTTCCGAAAGAACAAGAACAAGAAAAAATAAATAAATAAATAAAAAAATAAATGAATAAATAAATAATGAGCTATATCTGAATTAACGCATAACTCGACTGAATATCAACACAAATTAATGTTAATCAACAATAACAGGAAAAAACCGGATTTTTAAATGAAGAAAGGGGCGACAGGCAAGAAAAAGATAAACACAACTGCAACAATTTAGTCATAAAAATGTGCTGCCAGTGAACCTTTATAAATAAATTAAACATCACGAGACAATGACAACAAAAGCAACAAACAAACAAACAAACAAACAAACACATAAACATAAATATTTACATCCATACACACTATACATAAATAAAAACGGGATAGCCGGCACTATTTTGACTACATATATGCGAAAACGCTTGCTTGCTTGCTTGCTTTTATTGGTCATTGTAGATAATTTTAGAAAAACAAAAAATATTTAAGAAAAGAAATTGTCTTTGGTGTGCTCATCTGATCATTGGAAACTGGTCAAAATTGTGACGCAGCAACAACTGTAAAGGTTTTGTTGTTCAGCTCAGTTGTTTTAAGGCAGATGTTTGTTTGCCGCATTCGTAAGCAGACACCACGACAACAACAACAACAACAACAACAACAACGACAACAATGCATTCATCAATAAAGATTTTATTTATTTTACCATCTCCTGGTACATCATTACGTTCGCGATCGTCTTGCGTGTATTTGTCTGTGAAAAACATGATTCTATTTTCTTTAATAGTTGTATGTGTTGCCCTCAATCTTAGCAGGTGTTTGTTGGCAACATTTATATCTAAAAATAACTGCAAACTTTACCCACCACCCAATAAAATTGCTGTTAAACATGCCACAACAATGAGGAACAAAATTATTTGAAAAAAAAGAAAAAAAAAAAAAACATTTTTTACACCAAATGAAATAAATTTTAAATCTATCTATGATTTTGTTTTTGCGCTAATACAGAAAAATTGGCCGACGAAAAATTCGCACACAATTAAAAATGAATTATAATAAAAATATTAACTGAAGAAAAGAATTAAAAAAAAAAAAAAAAAAAAAGAAAACCATTATAAACTCGCATAATTGTAAATCAATATCTTGGCAGCAGCAGGCCTTTGGCAATCAACAAGAACAATAACATGCTTACGTGCTAAAATAAGATCAAAAGCAAATACAGTCCGCCAGTTATAAGGTGTTCCAAAATATGCGTACATAAGTTTACTCTGTATGTGCTTCGTTTGCTTTGATTGGAAACTGTCTGTTCCCAGCCAAAATTTTTATTTTCGAAAATCGCTTTGAAATTTCAAATATTTTGTAACAAAGCAGCGGTTGCTTACATATATTACTTTCAAGGTTAAGCTACATCAAAACAAAGAACAGTTTCGCAAAAAAGTGTTGATGTCAGGGATCTAATGGGCGGCCGAAAGTTTTGCTCTGTTACTTCCATATGCTGCTGATGCTTGCAAAAGCGTCCTGGAGGGGACATGCCCTTCATATTAAAACAAACATTGGACATATTTCTGGGGCGATGCAAACAGATAGGTTTTCAGTTTAAGAAGAAAAGTCCGCCAGGATTCACACATAAAAAATAGTCTTTAATATCGAATTTTGAAAACAAATCCATGCCAAGTGCTCGAAAGTGTGGAAGGAACTTTCATTGCTGACGAGTAATTTCCAATATAATGGCAAAAGACTAATTAAACGTCATACAAGTTGATGTCGACCGTTGTCGAACGGAGCTCTTTGAAGCAGAAACATCCAAGTAGGTTTTCCCCTACATCACTACTAGACAAGTAAACGCACTTGCTAATCCGAAAATTCCCGTCAAACTTCTTCCCATCCAATGGAGTACCATAAACACTCTAAACCACCCTACAGTTATTCATATATCGACTTTGTAAAATATTGCTTCATAAGGAAAATGGTCAAAAAAGCGTTACGACCCGTATCATGTTCAATAGCATTCGTCCTTGGTGCGAAGCGCGTCAGTGTACTAAGTGAGTTCAAAGTATATTAAAAATTGCAGCCTGAACACAAGAAACGCTTTCATCTTCACAAACTTAATATGCTCTTTTTCCCACAAGCGGTGTAGGGTATAAATAGCCGATGTACTTCTCCTAGCAACTCTGAAGAAATTTCAAGCATTACAAGGGCACCATGGAAACTTGATCTTTTGCACTGCCGCTAAATGCAGAAAAGTTGGGTTTGACGCTGACATGATACTGAAAACTGGTTTTTTGTTCCCAAAATGATGCTCCATTTTCCATGCAAACTATACAGCTTAGTTTGGCATAAGATCTTGGAATCGTGTAAACGTCAAAAGGTATTCAAATCTAGAATTGAATTCAACTAAACTAAAGAGACTTAGGCAAAAATGCATATGAACGCTAAGCAGATGAAGCTATTAGGCCAATTCCAACCACTTGACAAGGACGTCGACATTCATCGTCCTCTTGAAACAGACTTAAGCAAAAATGCATGTGAATATTAAGTTGATGAAGCTACCAGCCCAATTCCAACCATTTGAGTATGCGACGTCGACGCTCGCATACTCATTCCTGATTACAGTTTGTTTCGTTCAAATAATTTTAGTTCTTCTGGATAATGAGATGTGTGTGGCCCGAATTGTTTTCATTGCCTTGACCAACAGATTGTTCTTTCTCCTCAAGGCGAAGCTGCTCTCACCTACTGGTAGATTCTTTAGAGTAAAATGAAGGACAAAAAGAGAAAATTCACTTGGACGATGTAGCGATGATAGCGATGATAGATATTGCGGTAAGACTATCATTCTATTGTTGTTTTGCCTTAAAAACAATAATTGCGGCAGTAGTAGTTAGTATATTAATACCGCCTAATATCTCGCACCTCTTGTTTAAACATTTATGGAAATGTAAATTACTTGCTACATATATTTACTGTTTAATTTCTTTTGTATTAGGAAAACAATAGATGCCAATTAATTTCTAGATGATGTAAACGAGAAAAAATAAACGCGAATTTTAAAATATAAAAACACAAAAAAAAAAAAAGCAACAACACATTCGCCTGAGATCACATATATTTAGTTGTATCTAAAATTGACTTGAAAGGTGATGTGTGTGCACCTTATTACCGAGGAATTTAAGATTTCTTACCCATTACTATGTCCCTTACATATAGATTTACAAATTTTACCTTCATAATTGACCTGACCATCACCATCGATATCAGCTTCTCGGATCATTTCATCGACCTCTTCATCTGTTAACTTTTCACCCAAATTTGTCATAACATGACGCAATTCAGCCGCTGAAATGAAGCCATTGCCGTCCTTATCGAATACTCTGAATGCCTCTCGGATCTCTTCTTCACTATCGGTATCCTTCATTTTACGGGCCATCATTGTTAAGAATTCGGGGAAATCAATTGTGCCGTTGCCTAAATAAATATGTAAAAATTTCATTAATTAGTCCATATTTTTAATTACACATGGCTTATACATATTCACATATATATATATATAGCAAAAACAACATTTCGAAATCACATTTATTAAGTGACTTTGAAAGTTTTAATTATCTAAACGAATTCGTTGGAAAAACAAACATCGAAAACCAAATCATTTCGTTACTCGCGAACCCCTGACACGCAATCAGCATTGTAGGTGTGTTTTGTGTTTCATGTTTCATTTAGAAATAATGAAAAACGTAAAAAAAATATACAGAGATTTACATTGTACGATAGAAATTTCATTTAATAGTTTTTTATTGTTTTTCTATACCACCAATGTAGTCATCATCATCATCATCATCACACACTACTACTTACTATACAGAATTAAATCGTGACTAATTCTCAAAAACATGCACAGATAGAATATAAAACAATCGAATTTATTAATTGCTTGGGCCATTAGAAAGAAAAAGCGGCCGCAAAGAGAGAGCGTGGTCGATAGAGAGAGGTAAGAGGTAAAAGCATAAGCGCATGATACGATCAACAAAAACTGCAACGGTTTTTATTTTTGCTACTGCTAGAGTTGCCACCGTCAAGCAAATATTGAGGAAGTATATTTATGCATGTTTACACTGCCTTTAGTAACTAGGTAACTAGTCACTAGACCTACAATTGTGGAAATAGGATCCAAAGAGATTGAGAGAGAGAAGTAAAAGAGTAAGCAGATGATGTAATCTACAAACAAAAACTGAAAACTTGCACTATAAATTATACCGGCTTTTATTTTTACTACTACTTGAGTTGCCACCTCAGAGAAAATATCGAGGAAGTATCGCTTTGTTTGGTAATTGTCATAAAACGACCTTTGGTAACTATTTCTAGTATTAAACCTTCACCTTATAAAAGCATTGAGAGTGCAAAAGGATTTTAGCAATAACATCAATCAAATCATTTCGCTTGAGAGAACAGGCGTCTAGTCTGCGCGTTCCATCCAAATGACTGAGCTTGATTAATTTCGACTTATACACAAGTACGTGATTTTTGCTTATGCACAAGCATAGCATGAGGAGGATGAGTAATGAGAAATGAAATAAAATTCATCATCTAAGAGAGACGAGAGTGTAAAAGGCAACTTCTGCTTTGGTGGCTGGCTTCCACAATTTACTTAGATAATATGAACCGTATGTGCAGCGTTTTCTATCGGCTTTTTGCTTCCATTTTTATTATACGCTCCCTACGCGTGCTTGGGCTTCCTTTTTTCATAAACAAAGAAGCAAAAGAGCTATCAATTTCACCAAGATTCCGGCCGTTGTTTAACAATCATATTCATCGCTCGTCATAGATAAGGGAACAGTGTGATTGTATCAAGTTTGGCGCTTTGGAACAGGTAAACATACTGAAGTTTTACATTAACGTCTGTAGAATGTCTGCATATAACGTAAGGGTTCTGTGTAAGTAGACTTCGTTTGTCGATATTGCTGCGAAACCCTTACACTTTTCTCTTATCCTAAATATTGCGGCTTCCTGTTACATGCGTAAAAACAGAATTTAAAGGATCATTAGGATCTTTCCATTATTAATAATCGAATCTCACTAAAGGTTAAAAATGAAGATATATCAGTTTAAGCCTTTTCTCAAGAACCCTATTGCATATAACATGTGAAATACGCAGATTTTAATGTTACATGAATTTTGATCAGCCATAATTTGGACCACCAAACCTCTGGTTTTCAATGTTTGTATTAGAAAACTTAAAGGGTTAGGTCCGAGCAATGATGTGAAAAGCCGTGCAAAGTAGAAGCGCGAGCTCGATAGATATCTATAAAGAGGTAGAAAAATTGTCCACTAAAACGTCTTGGGAAGTTTCATTGCCGATGCTGTGTACATTTTCATGCGCAGTACACGTTCGACGCGCTTCCGGTTTTGTGTAATCAAATTTCGTTTATATTTCTAAAGCAACAATATTTGAAATAAAATTTCATTGGTTTTCACCTTATTTATCTTTCGATAATAAGAATAAAATAGCAACAAATAAACTGACTTGTAAAAAGGTAAACAAACAAGAAAAATATATTTTAAAAAGAAAAAAAAAACGAGAACATTGACTGACAGACTACACCTCAATATAAGCGAGTGAGTGACTCTTACAATCCATATCTGATTGATTGATTGATTGGTTGGTTGGTTGGTTGGTAGCCGTGTGTTCAACGTGTTATACTTGTATAGACATTCAACTTAATAGTTAAGCGTTTCGTTAATACCCAGCAAAATTGACAGATGTTCAAAATTAAAAATTGTCTGCGAGGAACATCAACATATGTCGATGATATTGCGTTTTTGCAATGCGGTTGAAACTTGGAAGACATGTTAAGTTTGCAAAGGGATTCCATAAGATATGTTTCTAATTAAGCTTAAAAGAAAGCTTTTTTATTCATTTGTTTCTTCTTTTGATGACCTTCTGCAAAGTTTCTCAACAACCTTGCTTGATACGGTTCCCTCATGGTATTCTTTCGAATAGGATGAGGGGAAGCATTCCGCCAATTCACATACCGCATTCCAAAAGTTTTGTAGGCGTCGCTTTGCTTATGTTTTTGCAAAATATTACCGCCATAGATCTTTTTCAGTCTACGAAGCATATATAATACGAGAAGAATAATAGCTTCAAAGGGAATATACTCCACAAATGGTCCTGGAAATTGTTGATTAATCAGTTAAATGTGTCGATAACTGTGGGGATTGTGCATTTCAATTATTTCGCAAAAATTCGGCAAAGACGAGTATACTCGTCATACATGGGGGTATGTGTATGACACACATCCCAGGATACATTATTATGTTTAAGTACATACATATTCGTAATGATAAAATTTGATGAACGAATGGGACAGATGGACGGATCGTTACGTCATAATAACACAAAAATGTTGTACATTCGTCATACACATTAACTGCTTCAACTATAAGATCCTTTACGTAAGAAAATGTGTTGTTCTTAGAGAGATTCTCTATAAATTTACTACCATCGGAATATTGATATTCTAGAAAGAAACAATCAACCCTTTCCACACTTGAACTGTAATCAAGCATACAAACGCTTTTTGAATACATCGATTAGTGTTGTTAAGCATTAAAAAGCAAACAAGAAATCTAAGTTATTTTCTTATTAAGATTTTTCTCTCAACAATTCAAGACGATACGGCCGTGAATATATATTCATCTGTAACTTTGTACGTACTTTGCATTACTTTGCTCAAATGCGTTCAAGGCAAAGGAAACCTATTTCATTATTTTCTTTGCATATATGTATAGTCTATCGATGGATAGGCGAGTACATGTATCCACCCAACATTACGGGCAAAGTGGTATTGGAAATGCAGAAGTACGGACATAACCGCAAGAAAAGATTTTAGCACTCGGAGCAGAACAAAATTTATATATTTAACGTGAAATTCGTTTTTTTTTTTTTTTTCGCAAAAACAGATGAACCGAAAAGTTGCTTATTATTTTCTATTTAAATAATATATGGAAAGCCCTCTGAGATACATTTATTTTCAAAGCGATAAAGTTTTCAAGGATTAAAAGAACACAAAGTAAACTCCTAAGCCAGCTCCACCCAAAAGTTTAGAGCAATGAGCGAGAACAAAAAGAAATGGCCCAGAAAAAAAACTAAAACTCCACCTTCTATTATAAAAATTTAGCAAATATGCATCATTCAATTCAACAGCCAACCCCCGGACACCTGTCCTACTACTATACCTTGGCGTTATTGTTACGTTATACAAATAAAAGTTCTTGTGCAAATAATGTTTTTCCTTTGCTTTGTGTGTAAAGTAAGTGACTGCGCAGGTACCAAAATTTAAATGGGCTTAAATGTAATAGAAAAGGATAAGCAGGTTAAGGATATGTGTGAAGTGAATTTTTTTCTAGAAATGATTTTCTTTTTTCCATTTTTTTTTTTGTTTACAATAAATTGCTGCCGCGTACCTTAAGTAATTTTTTGTCTACACAAATGCTTTACGTTTTTCGTTTTGCCATTTTTCACTTACCATCAGCATCGACTTCATTGATCATATCTTGTAATTCGGCTTCTGTGGGATTTTGTCCGAGTGATCGCATAACTGTACCCAATTCCTTTGTTGTAATGGTGCCGTCACCATCTTTATCGAAGAGCGAGAAGGCTTCCTTGAATTCAGCGATTTGTTCTTCTGTCAGTTGATCGGCCTGTAAAATATTAAAAAAAAAAAAAAGAAAAAAGACAACGCGATTATTTTATAATCCTAACTAAGAAAAATAAAACAAAAGAGGGAGGGAATGAGTATAATCGTCATACACACCATAAGTATCATATGTATTGCAAAAAATATATCACGAAAATTCCTTTAGACAAATATCTAAGGTAAACGTCGAAAGTACAAAATAGAATGAAAGAGAAAGTAATCTTAACAAATAATTAGCGTTTTTTTTTTTGATGAATCACGATTAATAATCAAATAGATTATCTCGTACAGCGTTAGCTGTGTTCTTCAAATTTTTTTCCTTTTTTTTTTTTTTGGAGAAAATCGTCTTTTTCCGATTACTAAAATGGATTTTTTCTCTTATTATTTTTTTTATTATTTGATTGATTGACTTGTCAGTAGAGTTGGTAGATTTGATAACTAACTCATAGAAATATTTTAAGCAAAAGGTTTTAATTCAATTTTTAAGACGAAAAAGTACAAATTCTATCAAAGTTCTTCTCTCTCAAGTTAATTTATAGTAGAATTTTAGGCTGAACTATGAATAGCTTGAATATACTGATTGACTATATGATGAAAGAGCGCTACTTTATTACCATAGTAAGGTCTTGAGGAATGTTCACCTCATTCTTCATTTCAAGCAGTTTGTGTACACACGTTACCGAAAACAGTGTTCGGCAAAATTTGCCACCGCTTTGACGTTAGTGTAAAATAAATAGAACAACTTGTAAATATTATTATAAACGGCTCTTGATAAAGGACATGACAAGCTGATATATAAAACTCGCCAGAAGGCAAACATAGCCGGGGTCGTGCAATATATTCATCCATTCATTCATCCATTTTACATCCAACTTTCTGGTAAAAATGAAAAAATTATCTTAGCTTTGCTATCAAAGACAAATTGAGGCCAATATTTTCGTTATGAAGCTGCTCCATTCTATCTTTGTTACTCAAATTCAGTGACTCTGAGAATGTGCCCGTCTTGTCGCAAAGCTAGTCTTTATTCTCAGAATTAGACATTTTTTCAGTTAACGTAGAGGTAGGTAATCCACATAATCGTTCTAGCTACAGATAGCCCAGACTGGACATACGAAAAAAGAGTAGTCTCTTCCCCCAGGCGTGTTCCCATATATTTCAGAAAGAAATAAAAGCAATTTACTTCTTCCACGCTTAAGCTAACACTTATTTATTGTTACGTATTTTAGGTGTTTGCAAAAATTTTGATCAGCGACTTCTTCGGGTAAAAATGATTAAGAAAATGGAAATACCGTTGTACATAACGGTTGAATTCGATGGTTTTGACCTCTCCCTTTACATAAAATAACAGTTTTCCATTTTATGTTAGTGATTTATTCAGCTTACGCCGACGTTAATCAAGGAACTCTTAAAATTCTTCTTCTTCCAAATTCATTACTTTTGTTCCTTATTTGAAGGAAACTGTTGACGAAGCCCACCAAACATGTTCAGAGGCTTATGGTGTCCCGGCTCCTGTCGGTTTTGGTTTCAACGGTTTAAAAGCGACGACACGAATCGACTGAAAATGCCGTTTTTTGGTCGCTTGTTGCAAGCGTTGCCTGGATTCCGAAACGGGAAGTTCTGCCACTCCCAGTGTACTCACTAGACATGAAGCCTCCTTATTACCTCTCGTTCAGATTGGTACAGTATGGTTGGTATGGCACGCGGATCCACAAATTTGAAGAAGCACGGAAATGGGTCGGTGGGTGGATTGCTGCCAAATCAATATAAACTCATTCGACATGATTTCGCCCTGTTGCCAAAAGTATTGTAAAATGTTATACGAAACTAGGGAAACTAATTTGATTTATATATATGTTTTATCAATTTTCCGCTGACAAATGACTTTTTCAAGTGAAAAAGTGATCAAAATTTTTGCAAAGACCTAACATACAAATTATAATCGTATATAGGAAGAGTTTTAATATTTACTTAGAATAAATAACAGTTAACGGATAAGGTGACAAATTAGTTGCTTTTGATGTTAACTTAAAAATGATCCAATAGTATCGCTAATGATTGAAAATTAAAACATCCCGAGAGATTTTATTTATTTTCTATTGAAAATATGAGCAACGAATTACACGAATCGAATGAGTCATGAATTCGCATATAAATGACTTTAAATGACTCTATAATTACTTCCATGTTCAGATATGAATTCTATGGCATGCACACACACACACACACACACACACACACAAACAGATCGTACATGTATTATGAACACAAATATCTATCTATTAATAAAATGAATTGTTATGTTAGTATTTGCAGAATAAGTTATTCATGCGCCAAATTGCATTGGAACGGTCTTGTTTGATATGCTTTGCAGGTTGTTGTTGCTATGATCATTTTGAATTTTTGCCGGTTATCTATATACACAAAAAGTCTATACCTTTTTTTTTTTGTCTATTTTTTGCCACGTTTTTTAATACTTAAAATTCGAAAAAATCATAAATTTATGCAAAATTGAAGTGAAGTGAGTCTTGGTTGTATGCAACTTAAGGACAGTCTATAGGTAGAGTACAAAGATCGACCCTAAATTAAATAGAATTTAAACTACGACTCATATGATCACGAACAGTACGAACACTACAGTACAGAGTGTTATTGGGCACTCACTCGCATTGAACTTACATGAAACATCATGTAAGGGTAGATTTTTCTTTTAAATCGCCCTCGTGTTGCCAGCTGAAAAGCAAATTTACTCCATAACTCTAACTTCGTAAAACACACCTTCGAAAACCTTAATAGAATAACAAGTAAATCCATACCTGAGGCTTATATAATTTCTCTTAAGCAAACTTCCAGAGAATTGATTTCGAAATGCAAGATAAAAGGAATAATTCGATTTTCTTCACTTTTATAAGAACATATAAGTATGTAGCCTACTTTTTTCCCTATTCTAGGGTTAGCGCTTATTCTAAAGCTGCTCTGATAGTTGCATGTCTTTCTCATAGAATGATTTCCCTTCCAAGCTCAGCACCGATTCTAGGTCCCCATGTTGTCTGTCTCTGTCTATCTCTCTCTTTATAGAACTGACCTTCTGTTTCAGGGAAGCAATTCACGAATCCATTTATGGAACAGCAATCGACTATCATTTAGGGGATTCGATGAGATGTTAACACAAGAGTACGTTAACTTTACGCGAATAAATCGAACACTCCGAGCCATTTGAGATAATCCGAACTTTTATTCTACCGTTGGATTCAGAATCATTATCTGATTTGATTTATTATTACTATTATAATTAATTTAGTCACAAAAATAAATTCTAAGACTAAAGTCTTAAAGCATTAAGGTTTTACTAAGGCTGTCAGTTTTATCGAAAAGTCTACCGCTCTTGACATATGAACCCATGACCATTGAATTGTTAGTCGAGATCCTTTAGCTAGTCGGTCATTCATTCGGGTTTGGTTTTAAGCGTGTCTGTCCCTCGTATTTTCTTGTGCCCCTGTTCTTATTCCACCGATTGATTCAGAATCACGTTTTGATTTGATTTAAGCTTGTCTGTCCGCCCGTCCGCCGTGTTTTCTTGTTCACTTATGGTCACCGATTGATTCAGAATTACATTTTGATTTGATTTAAGCGTGTCCGTCCGTCTGGCCGATGTGTTTTCTTGTGCTCAACCTACGGGTCGCAATTTTTGAGACATGTTCATGAAATGTGCTACACTGAGGCGCTTTGATGCAAGGAAGAACGCTTTTAAAAAAAGGTTCGAAACGAAGCACTTCTTCGAGCATCACCTATATCAAGTCTTATTTTAATAAGCCGTTACACGAATGAGAGTAGAGTAGTGTAAAGCATTGAATGATGGCTCATGGCCACTTCTCTGGTATCCGTGTTTTATTCATTGTTGCGAATCGGTGGCAATATTCAACTGAAGTACTCTAAAATAGTTTCAAACTGAATCACCGACATGATGCTATTTTTGGTTGACTGTGTCTGTTAACAGCAAACGCGGCATTCATTCTGCGTGAAACTTTTTCATATGCAAATATTAATTTAAAATATTCTTCGCACGTTTTCCTTTTATTTCTTTAGTTCAGTTCTATCTACACTGGGGGTTATCGAGAAAATAAAAAGATGCAAACAAACAATTTGCGACAATTTCCTGAAGTTGATTTCTCAAGAACTCATACAGAACAACGAACGCTATACACCGTCGAATTTTTTTTCTTTAGGGGAAATATGATCACTTCGCTTGTCTTCTTCGAGTTTTAACAGTGCCTTAAAAAGAAGGTGCAAAGTTCAAACGAATCTTGAAATTCTTTATAGTGCATTGTGTTTTCAAAAGCTTCTAGAAGTGGTACAGCAACGAGGAGGTTAATATTGTTATGAAATTCGCTTTTATGAGATACAGTCCGTATCACTAGATCGTGGATATTTTGATCAAGAGAAATGCAAAATTCAAAGTTCTTTTATTTTACTACTTTTACTTTGTCTTTCACAACAGTAGGAATATTTATTTACAATTTATTTTGGCCGTACTCTCAACTTCTACGTTCTTGCCAAACTAACTCTACTTTTCACGAATATTCTATTTATATACAATTTTACAAGCATCTTACTATACCTAAATTTCCGTCAAAACCCTTTTCTAATTTTTGCATGTATTAATTCTCAAGAGAGTTTTTAATTAATAGGCCAAAGGGAAGGCCATCCGTCAATTCCTTTTTGTATAATTAACTCTCCCTTGAGAAAATTTATATTCCAACAACTTTATGAACAAAGTCCATCATACACCCGCAGGCATACGTGGCTTTGTGAGGCGAGCCTCCTGACCCCCGTGGCTCCCAGTTTGTTTTGCAAAGCTTTTGGCATACTTTGGGAGGTTGTTAAAAACAACCGTACTGGCTTCGGATTCACAATACATCCTGGCAGCCAACACCCCTTTGCCTATTTACTTTTGAACATATGTCACGGATGCCTGCGGGTAATGGCGGTAATTGAATAACGGCGCCA